GGGCAGATCAGATCCCCGGGGCAGATCCGACCCCGTCGAACCAGCCAGAGGCGCGCCCCATGAAGTCCGCCCCACGCCCCGCCGGTCCTTGCAACCCACCCCCACCCGCCGGGCCCCCCAGGACAAGAAGACCGAGATCTACAAGCGCATCGTGGAGGAGACCGCAGAGGCGCGCCCCGGGGTGCTGGAGCTCATGGACGAGGCCCTGGCCCGCGACGACATTGCGCTGTGCATCTGCTCCGCGGCCACCAAGGCCGGGTTTGAGAAGGTGGGGGCTGCGATCAGGCTTGCAGATGGTGGCGGCGTGCAGCGCTTGTGCTTTCAAGCCAATCAGGATGCAATTTTTTAATCCTGGGTTTCAATGGTGCCATCTCGGCAGTTCAGACATGAAGGGTTCTAGGTTTCGGCGTTGTCTGGCTGCATTGAGCTGCCAGACGACGCATGATTGCAGAGCTGGGGTCCCATTGTCGGCCCGGTCAGCCGGTCGGTCGGTCGACGCCCAGCAATGGCGCGGAGCTTTCAAGGGCCGAGCTATGGGGTCGCAAGGGGTGGTTGACCACTGCGACCCTCCTTGTGGAGCATGGGTGCATCCATGCGACGCTGGACGGGCTCGCCAGCGGCTTGCTACCCACCTCACTCCCGACCTAACACGCGGCCGATCCCCGTGCCCCCAGGTGACCAACTCCATCGTGAAGCCGGAGCGCCTGGCCAGGTTTGACCTCATCCTGGCGGGGGATGACGTGAAGAACAAGAAGCCTGACCCTGGTGGGTGCAAGGAGGGGGGAAGACTGACAAACTACGTGTGTTGGCTTGCAAGCTTTTTGTGCGTGCGCACGTGCGCGCGTGCGTGCGTGTGTGTGTGTGTGTGTGTTCGTGCGTGCGTGCGTGCGCGCGTGTGTGTGTGTGTGTATGTGTGTGTGTCGGACTCATGAGCTTTGCTGCTGCAGTCACAGGGGCACCATTGGACCGCTTGCTGTCCCCAACCCTGCCTCCTGGTGCCCTCACGCTGCACCTGCACCCTTGCATACCCCACGCCCCTCCCCCCAATTCGCAACCTCCCCGTCGATCTCGTGTTTTGTGCAGAGATCTACAACACGGCGCGCGAGCGGCTGGGCATCCCTGCTGAGCGCTGCCTCGTCATCGAGGACTCCATGGTGCGCCCAACCCCGCGGTGCACCCTGGCAGCACGCCTCCCGCCCCTCCCCCTCCAGGGGCCTTCCCCTTTCAATCCAACTCACCCAGCTCGACGGCTCCGCTCCAGCCCTGCTCAGCAGCCCGAACCTGCACACTGTTTTTTTCAAGTTAATGTGTTTCTAACTTGGCGTGCTGTCATGCGCAGCACAGTGTGCGCAACTCACAGTCGCAGCCGGCTTCTGGGGCAACAGGCTCGTGCTCGCCGCTGCTAAGCAATCGCACTGCCCTGTCCTCGCGCGTGACCCTGCAAGCCGCCCTCGATGCCTTCTGCAACCGCCGCAGGTCGGCCTGCGCGCCGCGCGGGGCGCCGGCATGCACTGCGTCATCACGCCCACCTCGAGCACCGAGGACCAGCCGTTCTGCGAGGAGGGCGCCGCCGCGGTGGTGTCAGTGCTGGCGGGCAAGACCTTCCGCGTGGTGGGCGGGCTGGCGGGGGTTGTGGCCGGGCCGGTGGGCGCGATTGTGTGTGCCAATCAGGGTGCATGGAGGGCGTTGCCCGCGGCTGTTCCTTCCTCGCTGGCCAGCGGACAGTTGACCCGGCTGCTCGCCGCGAGCCGCCGCGGGTGTGTCCGCACGTGTCATGTCTCCCGGTATCGTCGGCTGTTCACCACGCACAGCAAGCCTGGCGCATCACGGAAAGCGTACACGCGGCTCTGCAATTTATCATATTCTCACTGCCTGCAAACACCCGCTGTTGTTGGAGCGCCGTGCAAGTCGTCAATTTGTATCTACATCTTGGAACTCCCCCGTCTTCCAACACCAAACTTGGCAGATTCCCTCCTTTGACCTTGTATTTTTACCCTCGTTTGCCCCCTTGCAGCGCCTGGACGACCTCTTCTCTGCATGCCCCAACGGCAGCGGCGACACCGTCGTCAACCTCCAGGTGCGGCTGCTAGGGGATGACTCTTGGCTGATACCAGGCCGCCGCTGCATGCGCGGCGCCGCGGAACAGGCAAGGCAGGATAGGCAGGCGCGAGCCTCTCAGCTGCAATGTGGCTGATACAACTCACTGCCACAGCCATAGCATGCATTTTGCATTCCTGGCTTGTCACGTAACTTGGCCCAGCTGTAACCCACCATGTCTTCACTCTCATCACAGGGCATGGCCAACATGGAGGGCAACGAGTGCGTCGTGCAGTGGAGCGCCGCCACGCCCGCTACTGCTGCCGCTTGACGCAAGGAACGTGCCTTTGTTTTGAGTTTTCAGTGGGGGGCGTTGTTCGTCGGCGCTGTACATATGGACTGTGGACTGCTGCGATGTTCCAAGCTGGCGGCATGTCGTCCCATGGCAGCCACATTCTGTTGTTTCTTGAGGCCCGCTCATTGACTACGTCCAGGGGTTATCAACAACGATAATCAAACCTTGGCCCACCCAACCGGCGCTTTTGTGCTAATGTTGGTGGCTGCAAACTTCAGCCCTGAAAAAGCACCTTTTTTCCCCGCAGTTGTAATCAAATAAGCAATCATTTAGCGTAATCGTCGAGTGCAGCCTTGCTGCAGCTTCTCAGCCGCATCCGCTGTGCGCGTGCGTGCGTGCATGCGTGCAAGCTCACGCGCGCACATGTGTGTGTTCGTGTGCGGGCGTGTGTGCGCGTGTGTGCACTTGTCTATCTGGTTTTTTGTATGGGTGTGTGAGGGAAAAAAGTCACGCCAGCTTCTCAGGAGAAATATTGCTGTGGTGAGGTGTTGGCATGGGAGAGCCACAACCGCACGCAAACGTACTAGGGCAGGCTGGCGCCCTTCTGTGTAGCTCCTCCTATTGGCGGCACTTGGAGGCACATGAGGCTTGCGGCAGTTTTCACGGCTCAGAATCCACGTTTGCGTTGAAGACAGTGTATACGGCTCAAATACCATCTTGACACACGCGTATACACATAAAGCCATGGAAGAGAGTCTGTTCCGACAGCTCTACTCGCGCAACGAGCCTGGCCTCGCAAGGCTGCCGGGGTGAGCCTGCTCTGTCCGTGAGCATGTACAGGTGTACAACATGTAATTAACACCCAATATCCTACCATGTAAACCCCACAGCCCCCCTGTCTTGATCCCGCCCCCAACAGCGCGCTGCACATGCCGCCCATTTGTACCGTATATACAGTACATGTGCACTCGCGCGCCTCTTTGCTCAACTGCGCCGCCGCGCAGGTCGTACTTCCGCGAGAGGCTCGAGCTCATGAAGGGCAGTCTGGATGGTTCAGCCTACGTCGGGAGCATGGTGCTGCCAGACGGGAGGGCGGTCGTCGTCAAGGGCTTCAAGAAGGACGGCGCTGCATGCTGGGCTGACCTGTCGATGGTGGGTGGGTCACCACGGGGGCAGGGGCAGGGGCAGGAGACACGGCAGGCTGGGGCGACTGTGCAGTACCCCAGCCAGATTCAAAGCCGGGGCCAAGCGGATCAAGCACAGTGAAGGCGAGAGGCTGCGCCGCCCGTGCGCTCAGGCGCGCCAGCAGGTCCGCGCACGGGACGAGCGGCGGGGCGCGGCACCCGGCAGCTGCCTCGCCTGCGCCGGTGACAATGGCCGGCATGTAGCCATCAAGCGAACACATCCTGCCGCCCCGCCCGCAGCCGGCCCCCTAGGCAACCATGACCCCGTGGCCCCCTGCCCCACCCCCCCTGCCCCACAACAGGCCAAGGCCGAGATTGACGCCCACGAGGAGCTGGGCCCACGCCTGCTGTACCCCTTCCATGTGCCGCGCCTGCTGGCCGTCTGCGAGGACAACAAGACCGCTCACCTGGTGTTCGAGCACGGCGGCCGGCCGTTCAGGCAGGCATGCCGGGAGCTCAGCCCGGCGGAGGTCCTGGAGGTGTGCCGCGCCGTCGTGAGGGACGTCGCGCCGCTGCTGGTCCTGCTGCATGACGAGGTGCGTCGCGACAGGGAGGGGACAGCGAGGGAGGGAACAGCAAGGGGACAGGGACGAGACAGGGTTCGGACGGGGAGGGGACGGGGAGGGGAAGGGGGAGGCACATCAGTTGGGTGGAAAGACCGGGGCCGAAACCGGCTCGCGAAGGGCCCACCGGGATAACGAGCCCTGTTTTAAATAATGCTAGTTGTGGGCTGTCCGCGCGAGTCGCCTGCCGTCCTAGTCACTCTGCACTGCACCAGCTTGCATGGGCGTGCACTACCCAGCCCCTCTGTCAACCGCGGCACATTTGCCACCTCGCTGTGGGGGCCCCGTCGTCCCCGACCCAGCGCCCCCCTGGCATGTTTCCCTTGCTGTTCTAAACCCTACGTGAACTCTCAACTTCTAAACCCTAAACTCTGAAACCTGGTTCCTGTCCCGACTCACTCCCCCTGCCATCCCCGGTATCTCGACCCACCCCCTATGATCCACCCAGGGCTGGTGCTACAGCGACCTCAAGAGCGACCAGCTGCTGCTGCGCCGGCGCCCCGACGGCGGCTGGGTCGTGCCGCTCATCGACTTTGGCGGGCTGCGGCGCACGCACAGCTCCAGCGCGGCCGCCTTCACGGCCAAGTGGGCGGCGCCCGAGGCCGGGCCCGCGGTGCTGCGCCAGCTGTATGGTATGGAGCAGGACTCGTGCGCGCTTGCCGCGGTCATGGGCCCGGCCTATGACACCTGGGCCCTTGGCGCCATCCTGGCAGAGGCGCTGGCCGGCGCCCACCCCTGGGACGTGCCCGCGCCCCGTGACGGCGGCGACGGCGACAACGATGATGAGTACGAGGCGGCGGTGGTGCGCCGCATCATGGACGACCCCCTGGCCTACCGGCGCGCGCCCGCCGTGCACGGCGCGCCGGCCTGCCTGCGCGACTTCCTTGACGGCGCGCTGGAACCCGACCCGGCGGCGCGCGCCACGTGCCTGGAGCTCTGCTTCAGCGAATTTGGGGAGGCCGCGGGCGCGCTCGACCCGCTCGACTGGGTCCCGCAAGTGCGCGAGGCGCTCCCGCTGATGACGGCGTTGGCGGAGCGGCGGGGCGCGCGCGGGACCGAGGCGCTCGCGGCCGCGGCGGCCGCGCACGCCGCGGAGGTGGCGGCGCTGTCTGCGGGCGCGGCGGGGCGCGAGGCGGCGCTTCAGGGGCGCGTGGCCGTGCTGGAGGCCGCGGCGCGGGAGGCTGCTGCGTGGGAGCAGCTCAAGGACAAGGCGGCGACGGCCGCGGCGGCAACGCACGCGGCACTGGTGGACGAGAACGCAGTTTTGAAGGCGCAGGTGGCGGCGCTGCAGGCGCGGCTGGCCGAGCTCAAGGGCGCCGGCAGGGCGGCGGTTGCGGCGGCCGCGGCAACCTCGGGGACCAGCGGCAGCTGGGGCGGCAGCGTGCGCGGCGCCAGCCGCACTAGCAGCGTCTGCAGCGGCGACGATGGCGGGCTCTGTGCAGAGCTCCTGGTATTGCGGCCGGCATCGCCGCGGCTCAGCCTGGATGGCGGATCTGAGGTTGAGGCGGAGCAGGAGCAGAAAGACAAGAAAGAGAGCTGCACCATGGCGCCCGGCACTGTGGCCGAGGCGGTGACAAAGGCAGCCGCTGAGGGCTGCGGGGAGTTGCACACCGCCAGCCGCGCCAGCAGCCGAAGCGTCAGCCCCAGCACTTCGCAGTTTGCTGAGACGCCCGCAGATACCGACACTGAGGCCGGCTGTGGCAGCTGCACCGGTACCAGCATCGCCGCGCCTGTGGTAGGTGCCATGAAGCCCTGTGTTATCGCGCGCGTGGCCGCGGCCTGCAGCACCACTGACAGCGACAGGGCCAGCACGCGTGGCGACGCGTTCGCGTCGCTCGACGCCGCTTCTGGCTGCGAGGCGGACGCGGCGGCTGTGATTGCTGTTGTCTCACTCAACAGCAGCAACGACGGGGCCAGCAGCAAGAAGCTTCAGCCCAAGAGTGGCGGCGCCAAGCACCCCTACGTCGGCCTTGGCCGCTGCGACGTGCGCACGCCCGTGGAGCGCGTGCAGGGCGCGGCCCACAAGCTGCGCAAGGAGGCCGGCAAGGCGGCGGCGCTCTTCAAAGGCCTGCTGTGCGTCCGCGCGCACGCAGGACGCTGACGCCCCCGCCACGAGCTCCTTCAAGACTCGGCCTGACTGCTGTTCTTGCCTCGAATAAACTTTTACTCACTTTATGGAGCAATGCTAGAGGGCATAATCTTCCCCTCTTATCACACTGCAGCACTGGTGTTCGTTTCTGGACAACTGCTGGTCTGATTGAATCCGCTGGCAGCCACGCGACCCGCAGCAATCTGGTGCTGCCGCGCCCTGTTTCGCGGCACCGCGCAACCTTGGGCTCCTTGTGCGATGCTCCATGGCTGTTGGGGCGCACGCTCCCTTGCTTCCTTTTCTATCCACCCTGCTGCGTCAGTCTGAGGCGCTATTGTCCATCCCTTGTGCAGAGCTTGGTGTTGGCCTCATTTTTCCCCGAGGGCATGCGTGCCGGGGACCTCTCGATCATTTGGGCTGGAGCCTGCTGGAGGGCAGCCGCAGCAGGGAGTTGGGGCAGAGCCGCTGCCAAGCGCGGCTCAGCCCCCGTTACATTTTGGCGCATTGACCTTGGGCCGAGCGCGTGCTGCCCTGACACTTCTGGAGCTCTCGCTTTCTTCCTTGTTGCTTCTAGGAACCAGTGGTCATCCCTCACAAAGCACTTGGTGATGATCCATCTGTGGGGTCTTGAGGGGAGGCAAGCACGGCCCCTCTTGACCCCTCGCTAGGTCGGTAGCCTGAGGAGAGCACGGGCGGGGGCCGGCACGGCAGCCGAACAATCCCCCGCCCCTCTTCGGTGTCAGCACTTGAAACTTGGCTTGCGCATGCGCGGCCATGCGGTTGGTGCCGTTCCTGTGGGAATACTTGCCTGCCTTGCTGCGTGCATGGCGTGTCATTTGATTGGCACGCGCTGCTTAGTCACTATGTTTTTGTTAGGATGTTCTCGGTTTGTTTTACTTGGGCCACCACTTGCAACCTGTTGACAACACAACATTGTAACCCTGATCACCACACCGCACCAAGGCTGAGCAGTGCCCCACACAGGAAACTACAGTATTTTGTTGAAACGGACCAGGTCCTTTTGGCAGAGGAGTACAGTATTGGCAGGCGTGAAATATCCCAGGGGCATTGTTTGCATTAAGCTCCCCTGGAGAAAGGTGGCTGTCAGTGGTCGGCCGGGTGACAGGGTGCATATCTCAACAGGTCGTGCTTCCGTTGACAAGGTGCTAGCTGTGGCCCCAGGTGTCACAGCCGTTGCCTTGCATTACACGATACTGAAACTGGTGCTGGTGCTGGTGCTGCTGCTGCTGCGACTGTTGCTGCGGCAAATAGCGCTAGACTAGACCCACTTGCCGGCCGCTGCATGCTGGGCGCCACTTCTCACCCGCACACCCAACACGCAGCCGGCTGCAGCCACCCTGCTGCTGTCTGCTGCTGCGGGGCGCAGGGGGGCGAGCCCAGGCGCACCCAAAAACATATCTGT